GCACGGCACCCAAAGCTCAAGCGCAAACAGATTCTGCTTCTGCTTCTGCTTCTGCTTCTGCTTCTGTCACAGCGCCGTGAAAAATCACATCTCCCTCCCTCCCTTCTTTCACTCATACCTTCTCCTATTTCGTAATACCTAGGTACCATCTACCTACCTACTTTACTGCCTACTTAATCTACATATCTACCTAAGGTACTTTACCACAACAGTACTAGGTACTACTACAAAATACCTAACCTTGCACAAAAAGCAGCACGAGATCAAACCTTCTTCCCAAGTTCCAACGAGGTGGGACCGTCCAATCGTCCAATCATGCATCCATCCATCATCATCATCATCACCCCGCCAAATAAGTACCTACCTTAGATAGTCCGTACTTACCTAACCTACCCACTGTACCGACGTATACACTCGGTACTTACTGAGTACTAGGTACCAGGTAGGTAGTAGTATTAGGTACCTACACGATTTCGTGCATACAGAAATGTTTTTTTCCTCCTCGCTTTTTCCGCAACTGATCTTCAAGTCTACACTACACTACACTACCTAGCGTACTTTTTTTTCCCTCTTTTTTTTTTCTTTTTCTTCACGTGTTGGAAAACCCCCCTCCCCGCCGGCCCCCTTTTCTCTCTCTCTCTCCTAGGTATAGGTAGGTATTGTAAGTAAGTAAGTAGGTAGGTAACTACTACCTAGGACGAATATTCACTAGATAGCTACGTAGAGATGTACCTACCTACCTACCTAGTCGGTACCGTAGAATAGGAAAGGTAGGTTAGGTAGCGTATTGTACCTAGTGTAAGAGGTAGGTAATGTGAAAAATACTACTACCGATGAAAAAAAAAAAAAAAAACAACAACAACAACAACAATATTTGCGTTGCCTAGGTGCAATCAAGTTTTTATAAAAAAGGCACCCCCCGTCCAAGCCATTGATAACGGCACCTACCTCCCTGCCTACCTACCTCTTACCTCTTCCCTCTTTCACGATTCTCCCCCCCCCCCTCTCCATCTTTATCACATATCGTTCTGCCTTTTTCATACACGCACGTCCCTCACCAACTTCTCTATATACCCTTTTTCTAAAGAATAACATTCGCGTTCTTTTCTCCAGCAAGATGTCTTCCCCTGACTCCGACGTCATTATCGACCCCCAGATCATCAAGGAGTTGCACCTCTTCGAGGCCGCAATCTCAGATGTCGACACCGAGGTGACCGCCAAGCAGTACCTCATGTCCCGGGACGTCTTCGACGCCCGTCAGAAAACCATTGCCAAGATCCCCAGTTTCTGGGCCGTCACCTTTGATAACGCCAACACGGAGCTCGAGGCCACCATCACCCCTCCCGACCTAGACGTCTTCTCGGCCGCCCTCACCTCCCTCGAGGTTACAAGACCCGAGATCCCGGCCGATGCCAAACCTTTTGACGTCGGTCTCGACAAGTTCGGCGAGCCTCGCTCCCTCAAGTTCACCTTCCGCTTCGCCGACAATGAGTGGTTCTCCGACAAGGAGCTGTCCAAGACCTTCTACTTCCGCTTTGGCAAGGACGGCTCTGCCGGCCTCGTCTCGGACCCCATCAAGATCAACTGGAAGAGCGCCGAGAAGGATCTCACCCAGGGTCTTACTGACGCCGCCCTGACCTTTTTCAATGCCCAGAAGGCCGACCCCTCTCAGCAGCTCGACGGTATTCTCGACAACAAGGCGCGCCACGCCCGCGACGCTGCCGCCAAGCAGATGCCTCAGTATCAGGCTCTTGTCAAGAAGCTCCACGATACTCCCGAGGGCGCCCTGAGCTTTTTCAACTTCTTCTCATACCGCGGTCGCTGGATCAGCGCCGCCGAGCACGTTGAGGCCAAGGCCAACCTGCTCGCCAAAAACAAGGCTGCTCAAGCCGGCGAGGACATTGCGGATGAGGATGATGACGAGGACGATGACGAGGACGAGGACTTCACCGAAGAGGCTGTCGAGACCTTCACCGCCGGTCACGAGGTCGCCGTCGCCATCGCCGAGGACGTCTACCCCAATGCCATCGATTACTTCTTGGGCAACTCAATCGACAGCGACGTGGACTTCGAGGATGAGGATGACGAGGATGAGGAGATGGAAGACTAGAAAGTTCCTCACTTCATAATTTTTCTTTTGTGTTTTCGTCATGACTGGGTATGGAAAAGTGTGGTGTTGTGTGGGGTTCTTTTTTTAATGATTTTAAAATTATGGAGAGCAGCTTCGTGGCCATGAGGTTGCCATGATTTAGATACCAATTCAGCACGCTAGAAGCGTAAGACGGGCTGTGTGCTCGCAGGGGATACGTAGTACTCAGTACACTCAATACATCACCTACAGGAGTGTTGTCTCAACATTTTTTCTCCTGTGTGCAGCAAAGTTGCTCCCCGAGCATGGAGATTCGAACGTGAATGAAGCCAAGTTCAATGGCATTTTTGAGGCTCAACAGTCAATGGCGTTCTGGCCATTAGCATTGATCACTACCACTCGACGCCAAGAATACAAAGCCTTCCAAGATCAATAGACCAGCCGAAGGTCAACGTAACACGAGAATATAGTAGGCACGCTTCGATGTCTCGTAACACGTTGGTGTCGAACGTGGTGATGACTTGCCACGACTGCTCGATAGCGGGATCTTGTCCGTCCACCGTAGATAATACTTCGTTCGCTGGTCTCGAGAAGAATTGACTCCACGCTTGATCATTCCACACGAGCTTGTTCCCGGCAATTATACCGCTTTCATCGAGAAATGAGCCAAGCGCACGTGGATTCAACGTGAGATCCCGCTGAGAGTCACAATGTTTGCATGTTGCCGTTGGCTTGTTAGCGTAAAGGGGCATTCCGCAACTGTATAATAAATACTATTCAGTCGCGAATATGGTAGGGGACAAGAAAATCTTACCATTCAGTGCAGCAGGTGGTATTTTGACGCCAATGGTTCATCAAATTCATCTCGGAAATAATTACGCCCAGTTTTCCTGTGAAATTGATAGATGGTTCCTGATAGCGCACTTGATTTTCAAGTTCCGCTAGCGTATATAGCACCCGGCCAGGCCCATACATAGCTCTTTGTAAGTCCCAGATATCCTCAGGAAAAGGCATGACGATGCTTTCTTTTTTGGCCATGTCCTGGATCTTATTACGCAGCCATGCAGCTTCTGGGAAGTCGGGATCAACGTCAACCATAGAACTATATCCGATGCCAACCTCTGCCTGAATGACACCCTGACGATTAGTATGATCGTTGATGCGGCACGAGGGTCTAGATATCAACAGAATGGTCTGGTTTGGGATCCACGATTTAGCGGATGGAATCTTGTCTTCCCAGAGTTTTAACATGCAGTGAGCGGTGTCATCATAGATGCCTACTTCAACCAAATCTAGTGTACCCTCCCTTGTCTTGGGATGAATAGTTCGTCTAGGACCGATGCTTCGCACACAAACAAGAATTTTACCTTCGGCAAAGTCATAGCCGCTTGCAAGAAAAGACTTCATGGTCATGAGACCTGGGAGGTAGTCGTAATTTTTGACATCCATTTCTAGCGGGCGACGTAGTGAGCGATGATTTTCCGAGCCAATTTCATCCAGGTGGAAGATTATGTGAGTAACGCCTTCGCGGCCTGGGTATATCGTTGTGGCTACAGAACAGTACGGAATATGCCCAATCTCGGCCTGGTTTCCAGCGGATATGGAAGTCGCCCAAACAGTGATTCGCTGACCCAGAAATGGCTGATACTCAGAAGGTTTACAGTAGAGCTTTATCTGAAAAGTATGCTCAGCAAGGTCTGAACCCAGCTAATGAGAATGACCATTGTCATCGTCGTATTATGTATGTGGTAAACTCACTGCTATTGCGGCGGTACCATCACACACGATGAGAAAATAATATCCCCCCGCACTGGGTGGAATTCTATGAGGGCCTCCAGTGGACGAGAAGTTGACCAATCTCCCTGTAATTTCATAATTATGGGGACCGGTGTGAAGTTCCGCGATCGGACAAACATCATAGTGTCTCGATGGTCTGAACGGCCGAGAAAGTGGAGTGATAACAGCTTCTACTTCGGCGGGTGTGAAGCCATCGCCGGACCTAGTGACATTGGAGGATTCATCGCCCTCATGTGCGGGCACCTCTCTCGAATAAAATGATTGTATTGACGGGAAGTGGAAAGCCATGCCTTGGCCTCAGACACGCTCATGCAATAGTTTATCACGATCCTATGGTTTGTGGTGAACGCGCATCACAACATCTGTCATAGTAAAATGGAGAAGGAGAAGTCCGAAGGAATCGAGTCAGTCAGCCGCTTAGAAAAGCAGCTTTCTATAAATATTTACCCGGATGGTCCGGGCTGCCCAGGGGCAAAGGAGTAAAAAGGGAAGGTGATGTTCTCGATCCCATAGCGGTTGCCGCTCTCAAGACATCTTGGTCTGTTCTACAGCACCGCGGGGTCAATTCGATGTTGCACCTTCCTGCAAGTCTGCAACTTGCGATTCTATGATAAGGTGTAGGTAGAATCGTAGAAGGAGCACACTAGGTAGATGACCATCGGACTTTCTCTTTGAGATGGTGGACTCGATGTCGTGCGCTGCTGTAGCCGCACTGTTCTGGTCCTAGGACTCGTGTTCAGCGCACTCCCTTCCGTCCGTACCGACTTTTTACCAATTCTCCCGTCGCCCGATATTCCGCCGGGCACCAGGCGCCATTTCTCTTCCTCCGCGATCCTCGTACATACGGATCCGTCGACGCACATCAAGATCCCCGCTGTACTGTGGAGGCTCAACTATCTACTGGATCAACAGTGGCACGCCGTCTCGCACGGCTGCATGCTGCCAGGCTTGTCGGGGCCGATCTAGATGCGACATATTGGTAGTCGGCCAGCGCCGGTCTCCCGGTCGTAGGGACATACCTACTAAGGACGGCGCAGGCAGGGGCTTCCACGGACCTACCGTACAGGTCGACCTAAGAGGCAAAAGAAAAAGACAACTTGAAAAAGAAAACTCATGGTCCCAGTGAGGCTTGAACTCACGGCCTTCGCATGACCAACATTACAATGCAATCATAATATTAGTACGACGCTCTAACCAACTGAGCTATGGGACCAATTGATTGGATACCGGACGGCGGGAGTACAATGCACTACCAAGCGAAGGCAGGTCTACGGGATGATTCATGAGGTGGTTCATGCATGGTAGGAGTCGATGGCCCATCTATCTACCTACCTACGGAATAGTCTGCCGCAAAATTCTTCGCTTAGCCCCCCTTATACCGAGGAAAAAAAGAGGCCAGAAACTAGACATACACTAGGTACAATACAAGAAGAACGTACCTAAGCTACCCTATCTATGCACCTAGGCATTTCAGCCTATTAACACAATCGGCACGGACCGCACCCATAGCCGCTGTAACGTAATCATTTGTACGTCCGTAAACCTTTGCTAGTTACGGATTCGTTCGTATAAAGGGAAAAAAAAGATGGGAGCAAAAGAAAAGCTCAATGGTCCCAGTGAGGCTTGAACTCACGGCCTTCGCATTTACCGATATTATCGGATTAACCGTAATATTAGTACGACGCTCTAACCAACTGAGCTATGGGACCAAGGACGAATATTCGACGTTGGTATTCCACAATACGAGCTGCTAAGGAAGACCTTTACCTCATAGAGCCCTAGTCGGCAAACTTGAATGGAAAATTTAGAAGCAGAAAGGCGCGATGAATGGGTATTACGTGATGCCTACGGATCCGTACATCCGGATGTTTAACACATGGAACAAAGGATGAGTCAAAGTCGGAAAGCCGAACCGCCGCTTGTTTCCGGCATAGGTACCAAAGGTATTAGCCAGGTGTGTTACCGTTAAGTGTTTCTAACCATCGTATACCTACCTTACCTACCTACCTGCCTGGCCATCTCGGGTACTGGTGGTAATATAGGTACATTTATGTAGGTAGACTATACAACAACCCACCTCACTATGTAGGTACACGTATCCGACGAAAAATCTTCCTTTCTCGTCAAGCCAAACAAGCACACGGTATCACTGTTACCTACCCCCCTCGAGGGCTGTTATGGGAAAAATTTTGCCGCACCGCAATTGTCTCAAGTGCGACTGGGCTTACCCTGTAATAGGTACGAAGTAGACTGTGTGGACTCTTTTGTGTACACTACATTTCCTAGAGGCCACTAGGTAGGTAGATTGGTCATTGATACCTTGCGGGCCACATCTGGTGACAGTGGCCCGGCTGAAGGATTAAAAAAACCCAGTCACGAGAACATAACCTTGACAAAGAGAAATATGCCCCCCCCCCCCCAAACATGTAAAACTCACGATGTACAATTGGTATATTAATAGCGAGCCCCTCCCACATCCGGGAGGTGAAAACGTAGTCCTGGTAGGTAGTACGAGAATAAATGGGCACAACCTGAATCGTGCGAGACGAGTACTTCGTGAGAGAAGCACTTCAGGTGAATCACTTCTAAGACATATAAGTCGAGTCAAAACAGACAGACACCTAGCAAGACGCCCCCATCGTCATCAAGCATATATAAACAACCAATATCGTTGCTCAGCTGCACCAATTCCATCATATCACACAATGCCTCGCTTCACAATCGCAGAGCCGCACCCGACGGTCAAGCAGAACACATACACGCACTCCGGCCGCGGCGGCGCAGGGAACTACTTCCGCGCCCCAGTGACCACGCCCTCCAGCGGAGTCCCAACAGAGCCACAACAGCTACCACCCTCCACATCCAACTTCTACTCCGGCCGCGGCGGCGCGGGCAATGCTCACGTCTGCCAGAACCGGCCCGTCATGTCCTTCGACGAGGAATTCCGGTTGCAGAGCCAGATCGCCCAGCACCGCGTCTGCTACACGGGACGAGGCGGCGCAGGTAACATTTACGAGCCGATGACGCTAAATCTCACGCGCAAGGGCAGCGACAGCTTCACGAGTTCCGGCAGTTCCACGAACTCGCGGACCGCCATGCTGATAGAGCGCGTGAGCTCGGTATTCAGCCATCGCCACTAAACCCATATCATTTACATCAGGACATAACTTTTCTTATCTTGTTTATTGCTGCTTTCTGTTTATTCACCCTGGCTTTGTTATATATTTTGATCGATTTGGAAACGCACACTGCGACAATTCGAGCGATGGCGCAACGGTGGGGTGGGTGGGTTAAGAGGGAAACGTCATTATGAAATTGAACGGGACGAATTGACAAAGAAGCGAGATACCTTACCTATCATCATGAGGGGAGATCGCGCTTTCAGCGTCCATTTGTCGAGCCCCCTATGAACCAAAGACTGAAAATGGCCGCGTCACGCGGATAAAAAAAAATAGTCGGAAGGTACCTTTTTGGGAGAGTGGAGCTGGAGGCTCGGAGTTCTCCATGAGGAAGAAGCAAGTGGTATTGATGATCGAATTGGGTTGAGGAACAAAGCAGGAGAATAAAGGAATGTCGATTGAGTTACAGTCTTTTTCCTTGGCTCATTATCACCCGTGACAGCAACCTGGCACATACCTAAAGAACCCTCGTCCTCACTGTTTTTACTCATGACGTATGATGGTTTAGTCGACATCTCGGTCTGGGGCATATTATTCTCCCTATGAGGATGAAAGAACAAAAGAAAGGAGAGGGGGAGAGCAATCGAAAGATCGCCAGATAGGTTCGAAAGGCACCGCGGTAGCTACCGAAGAGCTTTTCTGTTATACTATTAGTCTCCCATATGATACGGCGGGGGCATTACAGTCAATTGGATCGAATAACTGAATCCATTAATCAATCATCTGTCCACTTACGAGCATATTATTGCGTTTCAAAGAAAATAGGGAACTCATCGTGATTGAAACTTTATAAGTGCCTCTTACAAATGCCGCTCAACAAATGGGTATCATTCACTCATCTAAGGTGATCTCCTCTTCGCCTTCATTCTTCGTGTCGCGTATACCTTCCACAACATCCACCCGCGTCGCACCTCCGCCCTTCAGTTGCGTGCTGCGTTGACTAATATGAGATTACTACGCGTTGTAATACACGTCTGCAGAAGGTCTAAACTCGCCCCCCGCGTCTAAATAAGGCCGCAGTTCTCAACTAGGCATCTGGGAATAAAGTGTTCGTACAGCCCAAGTAACTTTCTTACTATGTAGATGTAAGACATAGGAAGAGGGCATGTTGCGGGTTGCTTTGGCGAAGCCTGAATCCGGTCGTTTCACTTCTGCCTGACCTTTATCTCTGGGAGGCTGTGGATCTTACAATTCATCTTTGGATTTGTAGTGTATTGCAATGGTTCCGTTACGTGAGTTTCTTATGGATGATGTCCGGGTCTTCATGCCAATCATCGATGCTAACCCACATCTGTTACATAGATAGTCAGTATTCAGGTGCGCTGCTGAATCAATGGAAGTTGTAATTCAGACGTACCTTTCTAAATGTGCTCAGGCCAGCTAAAATACTGCCACCGATCCAGGTTGAGTATTTGCGCTCCGGTGGAGCGAATATTTTAATGCGCATGTCTTTAACTGCAAGTTTCTTAACTTCGCTTAGCAGCCTGTCACCAAAGCCCTTGGTGAGCGTGCTGCCACCCGAAAGTACAATGTTGGCATATAAAGACTTGCGGAGATCAAGATCAGTCCGGCCAATGGCATCTGTCACAATCTGATGGATACCAGGGTATTCAAGGCCGATAATCTCAGGGTCAAAGAGGATCTCTGGAGCGCGGAACCGCTCCTGGCCCACACGCAAGCGATTGCCGTCTGGGAGGACGTACTCGGCGACTTTGCTCTGCTCCAGTTTTGCGCTTGCCCAGTCTTTCTCCTCTTGCTTTGGATTAAGCGCAACATATGAGACGGACTCCTTGATCAGCCGCACCACCTCCTTTTCTGCACTAGTGTGGAAAATGTAGCCGCTTTTACGAAGTAATGTCTGCATATACTCGGTAACGTCACGGCCGGCAACATCGATACGTTGTATTGAGCTTGGGATCGCGAAGCCTTCGTATACAGGCACCGCATGGGAGACACCATCACCAGAATCCATAACACAGCCAGTGGTGCGGCCACTTGCGTATAAGGAGAGAACTGCTTGGATGGACGTATAGAGAGCTGGAACATTAAAGGTCTCAAACAAGATTTGGGCGGCCGTGTCACGATTGGCTCGGGGATTCAGTGGTGGCTCGGTTAGGAGCACTGGATGCTATAGGTAAGTGTCAGCAGCGACAGCGACACGCGTGAAGGAACGGAGTGCCATCCTACTTCTTCGCTCATGGTTTTCAGGCCTTCATTGTACACGTACTCCCAGATTTTTTCCATGTCATCCCAATCAGTGACAATGCCATGCTCTAAAGGATAGTGAATCTTTAACAGTCCTCTATAGTCGGTAGCAGCCTTCTGACCAATAAAGACCTCGCCCTCTAAGGCGCCGGCGAGCACTCGAAGATGTTTTGGGCGGCCCACAAAGGAAGGAAAGTAGCACTTCGGTTGGTCATCGCCGGCAAAGCCCGCTCGTATAGTGCCAGAACCATTGTCAAGCACGATTGGGGCGTTATGCAAGGAATCTGCCATTGTGGTTGACGACTAAGCTCTCTACACAGCAGTGCTCTATTCGCGTTCGCGATGGAGTCCTCGGTACGTTCTTCGCGCTTGTTCTTCCCGGTCCGGGCTGGTCGATCGGAGCTTAGATTCGCTTCTTCACTTATTTACTGTAGGACCAATTAACCCTGCCGCAAACAATGAGACATCCGGGTTTTGGTAATGTAGACCAGCCTTTCGCCCAGTCGTGCGAAAGGGAATATAATGGATTAGGAGTAATAAGTGCTTAAAAAAAACAGATCCTGCGCGCCGTCGCGGAGAGTATAAAACGGGGAGGGCCAAGTCATTCGAGGTACATTCGCCAATTGTATGTAATTCCAAAAGGTGGCAGTTGGAGGCTCTCAACGCGCTCGTGCCTGAGCTAGGAGAGCTGGAGAACCGCGCTAACTTTTTGTACGATTAAGTCGACTGTACGGATCCGTAGGTACTGCGTACTTACCTAATATAAGTATGTTTACTCGTGACCGCTCCACTTTATTTTCGAGCTTAACCCAAGCTCGAAAACACAAGC